TCTGGATTTAATTTTCTGTTGCATTTCAAAAGAATTTCCCATTGTTTTCGTATTTCTATTTCCAGATGTTCTTCTTGACAATTTTTAATGTAGTTTTTTCTTTCCTTTATTTCAAATCATCTTCTTTGGCTCTGAACTGAGCATGCATGCTTTCCTCTAGCTTTGTACAGAAGAACTATAGGGCTCCCCTGGTCAAGAAATGCAGAGCAACAGAAATTGGCAGCACTGCAGAGAGCTCCCTGAAAACATACAGCAGAGGATGATGACAGGGAGACACTGACAGCTGTGCTGAAAGCCATGCATGCTCAGTAGTGTAGCTCACACTTCAGCAGTGGATGAGTCTACAATTAATGTCACATATTTACCATGGCAGTGTTAGGGGTTTATTGTATTTTCTAGGATGCATAGAGGTAACCTCATGGCTGGTAGATAGGTAAACGTAAGATGACATAAATATCAACTTTTTAAAGCTCTGCTGGTGGTGGACAGGCTGACAGTAGAGGTGAAAGCAGTAGCTTTCAATATAGCTCATCTGTAAGAGCCCAGGATGCAACTCATCAAATCTCCCACTGTACTACCTTTAAACAAACCTCAATTAAATAGCTATATATGAAACATGAAATTCAGTATCAGTAAATTAAGTAGAAAACAAAACAAAAAGCTCTTTTGAGATCAAGAAAAAGGGGCAAAAAAAGCTTTCTTCTTTGAGAATTGCTAGCATAATCAGAGCTGATAGCAGTTGATAGCAGAACCTAGATCGGCAGAAAAATTCTGAGCATGTCTCTTTACAATTTGTATTAATGAAAAAAAAATCTAAATGAGCAGTTTAATAACTGCAATTCAGAGCTCTGAAAGCCCCAGACACTAGTTTGAAAACAAATAATTACAAAAGACTACAAACAGCATTGCTTGAGGAGTTGAGGATGACAGTAGATCTCTCAATGGAATAATTAGCACCACATAACATTCATCTCTCATTGTTCAGGCAGGCTAATTTTCAGACATTTACACCACAGTGAAGTGAACTTCAGTCTACATATTAAGACATAAGGGTCCACACAAGCAGACTTGCAGTTGTCTAGTCCAGACATTAGTTAAGAGGAATATGTGATGCTATGCTCTTGTCCCACCAAGTTAGCTTCAGATGTCACAGTAAACAGCTTAGTCTGACCACTCTATTTACTCTACCACATAGAAATGAAAGGAAAATTACATGAAATAAAATGCAGGAAAGGGAACAGTAATTTTGTTCGGATGCAGAAAGCTCACCTTGCAAGCTCGGTAGAGGTACTTTTTGTCCTGAGTTAGGTTATAGAGAGACAAGAAGGAGTAGCCATTGCCAGCAGTACCATGGCAGATCCCATAGCCTTTTCTCAATAAACCTCTTTGCCAGATGACATCACTACACTCCATAGCATCTTTCAAGTACTTGTCCTCTTTAAAAGTCTGTGAAACAAGAACAAACACATAAATAGCAGTATTAACAAAAACAAAAGTATGATGAACCTGGAAAATGCTTTGCTATAGGGATGAAGTTTTTCATATACAGTTTATTTTGAATTTTAAGACCCCATCCATCACAGACTCACTTTTCTTCTAAGTTGCTTCTTTTTTCCCTGCATGGAAAAAGGAAAGTTTTAAAGTTTTTGTATCTGAAATGAGGATTCCAAAGAAAAAAACCTCAAGTTCATGGCCCTTGGTTCCACAGGCTGTAATCAATTTGAAAGGTACACGATCCTGTTATACTTCCCTCCCATCCCCTCCAATCACTATATTATTTGGTTTGAAATAGAGAAATATAATTCTTGGTCTCCAAGAAATGCAACAATACTGGCCATCAAATTTGGTCCTAGAGTTAGGTTCTCATCCTTCTGAGTAATTCTTGCTGGTTATTCACTGCCTGCTTTCAACTCCATGCCAAAAAATGCAAGAGAAAAGTAACTCTTTGCAAAGAACAGGGCTCTCTTCTCTATCTAGAAGTAGGAACACTCCATTACCTTGATTAGTACTTGCACCGGAAGTAATCAGAGGCAACAGCCAATCTGAGCAAAGGACCAGATTTACAAAATATACTGAAGTGCATTTTGAGCACAACTGTATCAAATTCTGAGCCCATCGAGGGAGCAGAAAAAGAAACAAGTAGCTTAAGCTGAACAGCACCAGACTTCCATCTAAATAACATTCTGTTCTCCTGTGCCTGAGTCACACAATAGATTAACAAGACAAAGAAAGAATAATAATTTATGCACTACTGTAGATGTTTTTTTGCAGATGGCATCCTCTGCAAAGATGCTATTTATTACGGTAAGAATCTTGAATGTTAAGTGTTTCTAGTAAATCCATAATCTTGATAAAGAAGGTCTCCCTTTTTGATCAGAGTCTGTCAGCTACTCAGTAGTAATCAAATGAAGGTCTGGCAACAGCATTTGATTTCCAGGACTAATGTTGCTGTCTGTTATCAGATGTCCCAGTGCTTGATGTGTAAGCACAGCCAGCACAACACACTCCAATTTTTCTTAATTTTTCAAAGAGCAGATAAAAGAGAAAAAGAATAATACACTTTGTCACATAAAAAGAGGACAAAAGGAAACTGCTAAACAGAACTTGGTCCTATTCTTCTCATGCCTTGGAAAGGTCTGCAGTGATAAGCTGGCCTCCTACTACAGTCCAAAGCAAAAGCAAATCTGACTGCTGCTGCTTTTAGCAGTGCTGTAAGCAATTTACAGTTCACATTTCACAGGTAGCAGCATAAGTAATTATTCCATAAACAAAACCTGCTTTTTATCAGCTCACCCAGAAGCCAAGGAGGGCGTCAAATGCAGAAATCAATTTGCATAAATTTAATTAAATGGCACACTTTCAAATTTCATACAAATCAGAAGTGCACAACGCAAGCAAGATAGCCAATCTAGTTAAGGACGGAAAGGAGCAAGCAGCAGGCTCAATATAGCTCAGGAGTTACATCTACGCCCTACAAAGAGCCTGGCATCTTTGTTCTGACATTAAGTTCTGAAGTACTGTAACAAAATAATGGAGTAATTCAGAAAGACATTCTATAGCATAACACATGAACCTACATTTTTAAAAACCAACATAATTCTTAAAATGCTTGGGATGAAGATTAAAATAGCTTAGGTCAGAACCAGGATTCTGATATCAAACTGCTTAACTACGTTGGCTCTTTTTCAAGAAAGGCAAGTTTATTAACAACTAACACCCCGAGAAGCAATTTTGTTTATTACTTCTTTACAAACATTCTTACATATAGTTTTGAGATATTTAGGTGCCTAGCCCAGGGTTCTCGTCTGAAAGCCTAGATCCAGAAAGACTTAAAACAGACTCAGAATCTACATAGAGGTCTTTCTGGAGGGAAAAAAAAAAAAAAAAAAAAAAGGACTTATACAAACACAGAATGATTCACCTTATAAGCTTGCATGAGCATGTGGATGACTCCAGGGGCACCATGGCACCAGTGAACCAATCTGTCAGTCTCATTGCTCAGTGACGATGGGTAATTCCCAGATCTGAATTTTTTATGACGCACATAGTCAATGCTTGGCTTCACCAACTCTGTCAAGGTCTCCTGATCCACATTTGCAATTGGCTAAAGACAACACAGAGAAAAAAAAAAATCGAAGTAGTAATAAATTGGGTATCAACAATTATGTGCCCTATTTTCAAGTACTCTACATATACACCCTTGATCCAAAATACTTTGTCACTTCAGACAGATTTAATTAGTGTCTGCTCACAACATCCTTACAAAGAGAGTAATACAACAAACAAAGAAACTGGGACACCCAGTTGTTACCTGTCTTACTTGAGGCGACACAGAAAGACTACAGAAGAACTGAAAACAGGATGCAGCTTCCAAGATGCCCAGGCCTCTATTTATATCTTAATACTTACAGGCTAAGAGTACTTACAGGAAAAAGACAGTTTTATAGATTAGTTGCTTATAACACTTACTTAAAACACAGTGAGTTACGCATTTTAAAAATAACTCACGTGGACAAACCTGACAAACGTTTATTAAGGTTAAAGTTTTCCACTGCAAACAGAACTCCATGAAGCTATGGATTATAAAACTGCATTTCTAATGTCAGAAGCAACAGCTACTTCTCAAAGCACCTAAGTATCTTTTTTCTAGGCATTCATCCTTGGATTATTCTTCTGAATCTTTCTTTCCTTTCTTCCATTTAGTTTACATCCTTCCCAAAAGGCAAATGAATCCATCACACTGCACTTCCTCAGTATCTGTTGGGTCTGTAGCTGTTCTTAGTTGATATTCCTTCCTCTACCAGCCCACTTCACAGTATTTTCATAACAAAGCTCTCTATTTTTACACAGCCTAGATACTTTAATGAATTCCAGCAACTGGTAGAACAACTGTGGGAGTCTACAGAAGCTAATAACTGAGCTATTTTGGTTACAAATGACTTGTCTTTGCTGATTATGTCATACAATTTTACTGTTTCCTACCAGCACATTCGCATTCAAGGGCTAAGAATGCTGCTACCGTTCACGGTCCTATAGCGACATGATTTTAAGTATCTATATTAGTAACCTGAAATAATAACCTCTACCCCAGTTAGGAAAGCTATGCTGGACTCCTGCCCACTATATCACTAGAGCAAATTCCTCTTCTGTACTTTTCTGAGTGCAAAGACATCTGAATATAGATCAGCTATTCATGAAGAACACCTTGGAGTTAATAAGCCCAGAGCATGAAAGGTCTCAGGGAATCTTTATTTCAGGACACTGATTTCATATTGGAATCCTGCAGCAGAAGGTAAAGACAGGCACCAGCAATAAGTGCTATTCAGTTTTGAGCTGTGCAAGGCAAGCAGAGTCCAGGGTTTAAGTGAGCTTGTGACTGTCACAAGAACAGAATTCTTTACATACCTTTCTTCTCACTATATGCTTCTATAAAGATGTAAGCACAAGCAAGTTCCTTTCTCCTGAACTGCTGAGATTCCTGTCACCTAACTGTCAACAGCAAAAAAGTAACCCACTGATATATGTCCTGATTATCTAGCCAAGAGGACATATACTCCAATAGATATTTTTGTCTCAGCATTGGTGAAGGAGTTGGAGATTTCCCAGCTATAGAATCACCTCCTCTGCCTCCTGGATTACTTATTTTCCCTGTAGTTGTCTGTAAGCAGATCCTAGACACATTCCCTCACAAAGATGTTATACAGAAGCAGTAATCAGTGGTCTTTGTATCTCAGGTGCTAATTTGGATGCCTTCTCTGTTACCAAAGAACCACCCAGCAAATCATATCATGAATTTTTTGCTGAATATATAGACAAATTTTCCTCATATGGAGTAGGAGGGATGGGGGAAGGATGGACTTTGATATGTCATCTTCATCTACAGCAGATGACTCAACTCTCTGTGTGACTCACAATGTTTAATGTACAGTGAAAACACAGTAATCTAATGCTGCATAAACAATGGCTTCGTGGTAATTCTTAAAAACAGCAATTGTGTGTAAAGGAAAAGACATTTATGATTTTACCATGTAGACAGAGTAGAGCTTAAACAAGAATGCACTGCATCCATGGTATCAGACTTTGAATAGCAAATAAAGGACGGAGTCTTTGAGAAGACTTCTTTAAAGAAATGGATGTTTCTCAGAAAACCCAGTGAAAAAAAAATGGAAGTCAGGTAAGATAAGGTAGCTGGAAAGGGTGAACCATTTTATCAGGGTCAGCAGGAAGTGAAGATAAGGACACAGTAAATTAGAGCATCCTGAGGCATCAGTCAGATGTCCACTGTACAAAAGACCCCTGGTAGCAGAGCATCAGCCACTTCCACATCAAAAGTCAGCTGCTTTAGCATGGTAGAAGTGGTGTAAGCTAATCTGAAGCAGATGGGGAAAAGTCACAGCATCTTTTGCAAATGAGGAATGACTGAGCAGTAGCAACAGTTAATGCTACCTCATCACTTTTGTAAAGAGCATTTGTACAGATCTTTAGGCTGTGAGGTGGGGATGTACATTCCTTCCACTTGCCTGAAGGACAGTCATTTTCCATAAGCCGATAAGAAAATTACCAATGATGCATAGACTGACAGCATCTTTCAAAACCAGAAAATTGTATGATACAGATTTTGCAGCTTTATGGCCAACTTTGTAACAAAACATAAGGCGCTACTTCCAGATTGTACAACAGAAGAATAGACATACAGGTCTGTTTCGAGAAACATCATACTACTATTTGAGGATATAAAAATCAGGGGGAAGAAGGGATTTAAGTATGGTGTACAAGTATACAAAAGAGAGGTATCTCAGTAAAACATGAAGAGAAGAGCAGGGGTCAGAAACACACTCAGAAACATCACATTTTTGGGGGGCAGAGAGAGAAGAGAGACAGAAAAGGAAGAAATAAATTAATAAAATCATACTGATTGTGTGATTAAGGACAATTTTCCAAATCTTCAATACAGTAGGAAAAAAATAAATCACAGAAATAAAAAAGGACATGAAGGACAGGAAGCAGTGATACACTCACTGAAAAATAGCAAAAATGGATGCTGAGCTAAATGAGTATTTAGCTTGCCTAACTGCAAGTATCAGAAAAAGTAAACATGAGGATGAGCACCTGACTCTTTCTTGAGGACAGGAAATTTCAGAATGTTGATGTTCTCAACTGCAACCCACACACATTCACAAATACATGGTGTACTCTGGGGCAAGGACATAAGTCTTGGCCATGCAAGCACACCACAATGGTGACATCCTGGAGTAAACTGCAGAAAAATGAGTCCCCCAGCCAGAGGTCTAACAGGAGCATTAGAGAAGCCGTGATGCTGAGAGGCAAGGCTTAATTCACTCCAATGCAAGGAAAGATAAGCCTCTGCTACTGGGGCCTTTGTTAGTGCTGTTCTTTGCTGCAGTGTCTGACTCCTAATTCTGAATCCCTGACCTACCACAACATTGCACTGTGCATGCATGAAACCTGAAATGGAGATCTTCTGATGCAAAACAAGACATCACTGATGTTTCATCCCAGTCCATGGAAGACACTCTTACCTGCATTAGCATGTAATAGATCCCAGCCACACCGTGGGCCGCTCCAACATATTGCTTCCTGTGCCACTGATATAACAGAGGACAACGCTCTGTCTTACGTTCCTCCTTCGAGAAGTTCTTCCCTGACTCAATAATGGCATCTATTACCTAAGAAAGAAAACACATCCCTTCCATCTCATTTGCTTTGATTCAGAGTTTTGTCATGACTAAAATCACACTGAAAATAAGCCACAACAAACAGAATGACGATCATATTTCTTTGGACTTGAGTATTGAGGTAAAAAGGAAGTTTCTGCCTCATTGACAGAATAACTTAGATTTATAAGAGAAACTGAATCTTAAAAACTTCTCATCAGTTTTTTCTAGGCCTGCTTTCTCTGGTCTGATATCTGCAGAAGACAAGCAGTTCCCCACAGAATTCTCCTTCTTCACACTTCTTTCCAAAGGTTTTCCATAACGATTTCTCACCCTCAAGTGCTCCAAGCCCAGTTTCACAGCAGATCCATTTCCATAGCTACCTTCAGACCTGCCACATTAGCATCCATTTCAATCCCAGCCAGGCAGCAGGGAAAGAGACTGAGTTTGTAGTTGTAGTCTCCTCTCCAGCCTCATGCTCCTAACCCCTTGAATTACATGCAGGAATGATTCCAGTTCAATTGCACAAGTACTGTGTGCAGTGGAACTGCCAGGTCACAGCCTGAACCAATGTTTAAGCATCAGGTGAGAAGGCATGGCTAACCCAGGGCGCTCAGGTTCAAGCAAAGCATCTGAGTGACCTAAAGGGGTGGAGCCTGGATCCACTCCTCCTCACCCTCATTTAAGGGTTAACAGCTGAAGAAGTAGCATCTCTCTAGATAAAGACCATGCTTCTCTTGAGCAGTCACAGGTTGTTGGGAGGGGTGAGTCAGTTTTCCTTCTTTATTACCCGTTACTGCTCTGTAGTACCTGTAGCCCACTTGAAATAATTGTCATCACCTTCTTTTGCCATACACTGTGGCACTGGGGAGAAAAAAAAGTCCTACCTCTTTGATAATGGACTGTGGGACAGTGTCTGAAGCAATTTCTGTATTCAGGTAGAGCAAGGCATACAGGTAACCAGCTCTGCCATAAAGCAGCTCATCTGGAAGTTCAGCATCCGTGCTTACGACTGTCCTTTGCAGCTGCAACAGCCTGCATCAGACAAGAACAGTAGGGTGAGATAAAGCATCTTCTCTAGCCAATATACTGGACTATACATTGCATAAACCATCAAATCAGAAACAGTTAGAGTACTTAAGTTCCATAATCTCCTTTCATCATCTCCTCAGCTGGCTGCCAGCTCTACACACAAGAGTAATACATATGTGCTGTCCCTGACAGATAGGCAACTTGGAGCCAGTGAGTATTATGAAATAAGTGGCTTCCATGCAGAGAGAAACACATATACAGGTAATGGGCTGGAAAGCTACTCCAATCTAGAGCTAATGCTGATTCCAAGAGAGACCAGGAACACCAACCTGGAGATGCTATCTGACAACTAATTTGCACTGAAGCAAAAAGATTCACAGATGCCAGTTACGTCACTTCTGATCTCAGAGATCAGTCAAAAGAAATGTCACTTAAATTATAAAAGTAGCTGTAAATTAATGGGAAGAATGATGAAAACCTCCTGGAACCTCTAGTAATTTCATCTGAGCAAGGACTCTTAATTTTAGATGTTTCAGAGGGGAGAAAAAAAACACTCTGCACTCCCCTTCCCTAAATAAGCATTTTTTCAAATGATTAATAACACAGTTTAGAAAGAGTGTTGCTATTACTCTTGCCTATAGTAGGGGAAAAACACCTTGGGCTGGCTACTGCAACTCTCACATGCTCCACTGAGCATTCCTGCTATTACTCTACCAGTCTGCTTTCAAATTGAGAAATAGAGAAATTGTTATCCTTCCCATTCCTTCTCTCTCTGTTCCTATTTTTCACTGATTAAAACGAGCTATTAGATGAAACCATGGAGATAATCACATTTTAAATTTGGGGAGGGGGAAAAATAATCTGGATTAAGAGGAAAATCTATTCCCAGATATCCTTAAAAGCAATTACTTGGCAGAAATGTTAGCACTAACATCATGCTGGAACAAAAACACAGACCTCAATGGCTTGTTCACACTGTCACTGCTTAATATCTGTGCAAAGCTACTCACAAAGAAGAGCTTTATGTTATCACTCCTTTCTTGGAACTACTCTTTGGACTTGCAATTAAATTACTTTTTTTTAAATGCCCACTGTTAGGTTTTATTATTCAATTCATACTATAACTAAACAGTTTCAAGGTAAAAAGTTATGAGCGCAATCATATATATACTTTGACATCTACAATGTAACTCTCACTGCTGATGTCCTGAATATTTGTAGGTCACTCCAAAAGTAACGCCTCCTATTGATTCCCATGGTAACAACAACACATACCAAGAGCACACTAACACTGATAGAGCAAGTTCTTAACTACAAAACACTATTTTTCAACACTGTCACCACCACTAGCTATGCATTTTTGCCAGTGATGAACAAGAGCCTGCATGCCATGCTTGTAAAGATCCTCACCAGAAGACCCACTGTTTCACAACTGTTTTGATGGCACTGTTTCTAGGAAAACACTACCCTCATCGTTCATCCTTCATTGGCCCAAACAAACAGAAGTCAGAAGGTGCCACATTCAGACTATGCAGTGGGTGGGTTGGACACTCCAGTCAAGACTGGCAACATACTCCATTATCTTCAAGTTGGTATGGGGGCTGGTATTATAATGCTGGAAGAGCAGTCTTCTTCTCTGGCCTGACTCCAGAAGTCCAGCCTTTAGCTTAGTCAGCATTACAATGTAGCAACCAAGAGTTGACAGTCTGTCCAGGCTCCAGGGAATCCAAAAGGATCACCCCTGTTCTATCCCAAAAGACCACACGCATCACTTTAGCCACTAAGGACTGCATCTTGAACTTTTTATTCAACAGGGAATTCATATGTCATCACCCCACAGAGTGCCACTTTGATTCCAGCTTGTAATGGTGATACTATGTCTTGTCACCAGTCATGATGCAATTCAAGTAACTGCCACTTTCAAGCTAGTATTGGTTCAGTGGATCACGACAAACTTGCACATGGTTTTCTTTCTGTTCCTGTGTGTGCATCTGTCACATGGCAACAAAATGTAATGGAATACCAGCAGGAAGGTTCATCTTCTATTGCCATACCACCAACATCTGCCTCTTATGTTGTGGGCCAACATAATAAAATAGAAGCTATCGCTTTCAGACCATCCCTGGCATTTGTAAACAAAACAAACAAACAAAGGGGGTTATGAGGGGGGGAGGGGAAGGAAGAAAAGGAGCAAATAATCAAACTAACCTCCTTCTCAGTCCTCTGGAAAGGAGCTCCCAAGCACAAGTAAGATTAAAAGATTTTTTGCTGATCTCATTTTGCTCTACTCATACTTCATGCCTTACAGCAACACTGCCTTCCTAGCTGCATCTAAAATGACATGCCCAAGCTAACTGTCAGCTTTAAAAGCAAGGAAGAAAGCTTTCATTCACTTCAAAACTTAAATATTCATTCAGGAACAGTAACTGATATTATTCAAATTAGGATTCTAGATTAGAAAAAGACGGATTATATACTCAAACATAAACCAGAGATGATGACATGAAGCTAGTATGCAAATTCTGACTGGGCAAGGCATGCTGCAAAACTGCTAACAGGTGCTTTACAGAAAGCATCACATACTGCACAAGCACTACATTCTGCCAATGAAAGGTGTGTAACTTCTATTACTATAACAAAAATGAAGATGCGCATGCACTACAGATATGTCCAGGACATCCTGTTCTTAGAGCAACTTAGAAGACTCAGTGACCCACTAAATACAAGTGTAAGCCGGATTTAATAATGCTAAAAGTCTATCCTGTATTCTACTGAAAATACATCAGTACAGGAAGTACCTCCATGTTTTAATCTCGTCCTCCACGACTGAAATTGCTAATTTTACTGAATTCTACAAAAGAAAGCCATGGCTTTTCCCACTATTGACCACTTACCTAGCAACACATTCCTTAGATTCACTTTCATTTTTCAGCATATGATAAACCACTGCACCCACTGCGAGTGGCCCAGCATCACCACAGAGAAAAGTAACTCGTCTGCCATTCAGATTGCGAAGGATTCTCTTCACATAATCGAGAGATCGCTGCAAATGGCTTTGGTTTTTTGTGACACGGTACAGTTGGAGATACAAGAGGGCAATGCCTGAAAAAAAACACACGAAAAAGAGATTTATTAATTTTTCCTTCTTAATACATCACATTACCATCTTTAGAGCCATTGAACCAGTAAATTGAACATGAAGAGATATTTGGTCAATTAAAACATTTCAGCTAAAGGTCCTAGCTTTGCAAAAGGAACAAATCAATCTGTCTTTATTACATTTCTATTTGGATCATGACAAACATCCAAATTTATCACAGACTGAAGCACAACAGTACATCCACTATTAGCACAGAATTAAGAAAATTCATGACCAGGTACTAAAGCTTGGAGAAGAAATCACTTAAGACTCAAAATCTTAGGGTAACAAGTATACCTACAACCAAGCAAACTCACTTTACAATACTCATCTGTTATAGACAAAAAATGACCTAGTTCCCATTTGACTTTTAAAAGGATATTTTAAGCAGTTCTTAAATTCGACTTGTCAAGTTGTTTATAACCCCTGAACAAATTTCACAATGACATTATGACACCTTAAGATTTAAGCTAGCTTGTAAAAGCCAGAAAGCAAACAAGTCCTAGGAGAATGCTGGATGGTTAAATCAAGCTTCACTCCATTACAATGATTATATAGTTTCATTTAAAACAAAACAAAACCCAACCTTAAATCTATATCATTGCAGCTTTTAACGAAGTGAAACAACTCTAAGTGGATGTTTCTTGGCCAACTAGAAGCGTACATGTATAGAAGCAAAAAATGTACCTTCTGACCATGTGGTATAAACCACTCAAACTCCTCTTTTTTTGAGCAGGGATGAGATTCTTCTGTGCCATGAATAAAGTGGAGAACAAACTAGACACGCTCAGTTCAACAGAGAGTGTTTTTGACACGTACAAGAATGGTACTATAAGAGCAGTGGTACATGCTCAGATGTTCTCTAGGACAGCCTTGAAAAGGCATTTACAGATGGCTCCAAGAAGGCTTGGAGAAGAGCTTGGTTAGGCCAACTCAGTGGCACAGGAGATTGTGGCCTATTTGCTGTCTCCTTCATCAAAGCAATGGCAGGAAAACACTGCCTCTGGGGCTGCTGGCCTGACTGGTATTTCTGCAACTCTTTCACAGATCGCACCAAATATGCAGATCAAGGCTGTAATTGGGAACTAGCCATGAGGTCCAGCTTATCCAACCCTTTCTTGTGCAAAATGCTCCAAGACATTTGCCATGTACAAACAGTATCTGTATTAGTATATAAGCACAATGGACTCTACCACGGGTTTTAATATTGTTATGTGACAACAATAAGCATTTCAAGATTCTGAAGATGCTTCCAAAGTACAAGCCAATATTCAGGACTGCTCACCTCCACTAAGATTTGTCAAGACTTGGCACATAACAAGCAGGGCAGTTCTTTTCAGATTTGGCTTTTACCTTCTGATTTTCACATTCTAGCAAAATGTTGCAAGAAGCAAGACTGCGGAGAAAGTATTTTCATGAAGTTTTTCAAAATCCAGACCATTTTAGTATTTTTATTGAGGCAATTCCACAGAAACCCTGAAAGAATTTTATAGCTCGAAGTAGATGTAATGAGAAATCTGTCTATAGGACAGGAAGAAAAAAAATTCTCATTAGAGTGCATTACTTGTTCAGCTAACGATGGTTGTGTTAGTTTTAGCTTATGAGTCACTTTCAACATGCTTAGTAATGTCTGCTGTCAGTCATGGTGTTAGAATCACAGAATTGCTGGGGTTTGAAGGTATCTCTCATCCAACACCCCTGGCTAAAGCAGGCTCCCTACAGTAGGTTGCACAGGAAAGTATTCAGGCAGGTGTCTCAACCCTTCTTTGTTTTTGGCTCAAAGTTTGCTTTCTGAAGCATTTCTTATGATAAGACTGACTTATCTAGGAGATGAGAGGTGGGTGTCGCTGTGTGGCAGTCAGCATCACTGTGTGGACAATTTTACATTTAAAAGCATTTCTTTGGAGCTGTTTGCCTTCAGAAGAGAGTGCTCAGGACTGTTTACTGGTGGAAGATCTGTGACCAAATAACTCCAGCTTGCTATGAGAGACTGGGGGATAATACCATTGTATGCTGTGAAGGCATGATACAAGTGGGCACCTCCCTGCTCCCTCTTATTTGCTGGCAAGGCCCAGAAGATGGGAACAAAAGGAGTTCCTGCTGAGATCCAAAAGCCAGAAGCTGTCACTCCAAAAGGAGCTGACTCAACCACTTTGGGCTTACTTATAAGCTTGTACAGCAATTGGAAAGTTTCTCCCTCATCTCCACCATCACCATCATCGGCGTCAACTGAACAACACCCCCCAATGATCCACCACTACTGAAGATCAATGACCGACCTACGAGCAATGCTGGATTCGTGGTGGTGACCATCTCCCTCCTGCTTCCTACAAAGACTCCTTGCTTTTATTTCTTATCTTTTCTATCGCTCATCTTCCCTTCCCCGCCTCCCTAAACGATTAGTATTTGTAATAAACTGGTTGGGCTAACATTTGATCCACTGTGTCTTAATCTTACCGTCAGATATATATACATTACAAGAACCTCCTCTTCCTCCCATAAATTGGAGTGAGACAGCAGTTTTTGAATATCTCCAGAAAAGGAAACTCCACAACTTCTCTGGGCAGTTCTAATGCTCTGTTGTCCTCATAGTAAAAAAAATTTTTCCTCATGTTCAGATGGAACTTCCTGTGTCCCAGTTTGTGCCTATTGCTCTTTCTCCTGCTGCTAGGCACCACGGGAAAGAGTCTGTCTCCATCGACTTGATTCCCCCCATTAGATATTTATAAGCATTTGTAAGATCCGTCCTCAGTCTTCTCTCCTCCAGGCTGAACAAGCCTCAGATCTCTCAGACTTTCCTCAAAAGAGAGATGTTCCAAGCCCCACCTTTGTGGCCCTCTGCTGGTGACCCTTCAGTAGTTCCATGTCTTGCTTAAACTGAGGAGCCCAGACCTGGACTAAGTATCCCAGATGAGGCCTCACCAAGGCAGAGTAGAAGGGGATGATAACCTCCCTCAAACTGCTGGCCATACTCTTTTTCATAAACCCATGGGCCTTCTTGGCTACTTGACATCTCCTGCACTCACTCACCAGCCAGTCTTAGACCTTGAAACATATCTATCGTTTACACATGAATTGTCTAAAACATCCCCACTCATCCACCCACAGTACCATCTGTGCTGAAATATCAAGAAGAAAGTGAAGAAATTTTGTATTTCCACTGCCAAAATTAAGACTAAGCACAGGCAAAGCCTGGAGAGCTTTTCCAGGCTGCTTCCCCCTCCCTGACAAACGGACAAAGATAACAGATCTCCTCATGGCACATATCAAACATGCTATGCTAAAATAAGAAGAATGTCTAAAGCATAAGATAGAGCAGGAATACAATTTGCCATTGTAATAGCAAAGCAGCACTTTAGAGGCTAAGATGCAAAAGAGTATTGGCAGCTTGAAGAGCAGTGGCTGTGTCAGGCTTGACATCTGCAGGCACTGCCTAAAGGATCAATAGGGTTCATTCACATTTTGACAGCATTAGTACTGCAAAGTAAAAGAACAGTGATGTTTAGGGATAAACAGCACTTGCACACACATATTTCTCTTCATATAATTCACAGTTTTGCAGCCTTACCTCCATTCCACTCCTTCCCACGTTCTCATTTTAACATTTTTGTACAGACAAAACAGCAGAGCCAAACTACCCTCCAGTTTTTATCAAGTGCAGCCTCAGCAAGTTTGCAGATGACACCAAGCTGAGCGGTGCAGCCGATGCACTGGAGGGAAGGGAAGCCATCCAGAGGGACCTGGACAGGCTGGAGAAGTGGGCCCATGTGAACCTATTGTAGTTCAGTAAGGCCAAGTGCAGGGTGCTGCAGTTGGGCTGGGCCAATCCCAAGTATTTATACAAACTGGGGGAAGAACTCCTTGAGAGCAGCCCTGCGGATAAGGACTTGGGGGTCCTGGTGGGCGAGAAGCTGGACATGAGCCAGCAGTGTGCGCTTGCAGCCCGGAAGGCCAACTGTGTGCTGGGCTGCATGAAAAAAGGGGTGGCCAGCAGGGAGAGGGAGGTGATTGTCCCCCTCTACTTGGCTCTTGTGAGGCCTTCCAATATTTGAAGGGAGCATATAAACAGGAGGGGGAATGGCTGTTTGTGAGGGTGGATAGTGACAGGTCAAGGAGGAATGGTTTTAAACTGAGACAGGGGAGGTTTAGGTTGGATATTAGGAGGAAGTTTTTTTACACAGAGGGTGGTGAGGCACTGGAACAGGTTGCCCAAGTAGGTTATGGATGCCCCATCCTGGAGGCATTCAAGGCCAGGCTGGATGTGGCTCTGGGCAGCCTGGCCTGGTGGTTGGCAACCCTGCACATAGCAGAGGGTTGAAACTAGATGATCATCATGGTCCTTTTTAACCCAGGCCATTCTATGATTTTATTCTACCCATACCATACATACTAAGGCTTCTGCGCAGAGAGCATAATCTCCTCAATGATCAGAAGATGCTATTACCATTATGCCAGTTAACTACCTCTAAGTCAGTTGAGCAAAAAAAGTGAAAATGGCTAATTTTAATAAAACCTTAAAAAAATGACAGGTAATTCAAAAGAAGAAGTAGCCTTAAAAAATCCATTTTGCAAAATAAATATCTCAATACACAAAAGCCTATTAACTCTCTATACTGAGATTGTTGGTCCACTGAAGCCAATGGAAGTGACTGCAGATAACAGTGACCAAGGTTACATAGTTAAAAGAAAGCAACTCATACTGTATCAGAGTTCTGCTACTGCTTCTACCAGAATATCTAAAGGTCCTTTTGTGAAAAGACTCACTCACACCATTCAACAAACATTCTTCATTCACTGTCTAGATCTCTCACCAGTCCAGCCAGTATAGGCAGAGCAGTCGTGGGGATCTGCTGTCTTCAGCCCTTCCTCCATTTGCTGCAGAAGGTCCTTGATTTTTGTCTGGATCCGTTTTGTGAACTGAGCACTGACCTGTAAGCAGGAGAAAGGAGAAAAGGAGTGAGCCAAAAAGGAAAGAATCCAAGAAGCCAGGTGTTCCACTTTTTTGTTTGGAAAAACAAACAAACAAAAAACCCAACCACCAAACAAAAAAAATACTACAGAATAAATACTATATACAGCAGTGTCAAAGAAATAGCTAAAGGAAAATAAATGTTCATATTTGAGACAACCAAGTCAAAATCAAAACCATCATCTTAAATTATATGCTTAATCACATCATTCATAATTTATTCATGTTATTTTTAAATCGAACTGATTGTTCAGTCTGTGATCAGCATACAAAAGGGAAGTCATCTAGCCATAAAATGCCCTTCCTCTTACTTTCTGCTCTCCTCTCACCAAATACCATTAGGATTGACACACTCTATCATGAGAGGAGGTTCTTAAATGCAGCAAACTGTAAAAGAATAACTACTTGGAAAAATAAGCTGGGCACAAAGAAGATATATAAAAGCAGCTTGGCAGCTTTAGCTCATACCTTTACCCTTTGGCACAAAGTTGAAGAAACAAATCCTTGATTTTATCCATTGCTTGCTTTTACTTTCAAGCAAGGAAAGTTTACAGATAACTATATATGAAATGCTACATAGAACACCTTATCTTGCCACCTCTTGTTAAACATAATGCATGGGACAATGCATTATTGATTATTCCCTTAAGACTATGGAATATGGAAATAGTCAGTTAACTAATAATTGTTTCCCTATTAACTTCCATGGAAAAGTGTATTCATGAAGTCCCACCACAGGATAGGTTTACATTTGCAGTGAAAACACCAGGAAGAACACTAAAAAATGTTTTATTATACACAATATGACTTGCCAATTAACTTTTGCTATTAGTATATTTATTAAAGCTATTTAATATATTTAAGTAGAACCTGAAAAGAAGAAATAAAAAATTTCCTTGCTACTTGTGCTGTAAGAAAAGCTTTATCAGTATCAGATAGTTATATCACTCTGACAAGATAGTGATCTACGCTAATTTCACAGGACCAAAAAATATTTCCTGAATGTTAATTTTTCACCAACTATAGAAACATGCAAGCATGTGTCACTTGTCTTCCCTGTCTTAGTTATCCAGGCAGGAACAGTGAGAATAGAACCCCTCTAGGGACAAGAAAGCCAGCAGAGCTTTCTCATCCCCCAAACCCCCAAAGTGGTCATCAGCATCCAGAAAAAGAGCATTATGCAGTTTTGCTACTTGTCAGCTCACAGACAGAATTAGCCACTCCCTTCTGAATTGTGCTTGATACACTTGAATTGTGCTTCTACACTTGCTTCCCAGCATGCTACCTAGTGACAGCTAGATCAAGTCAGATTGGTGAAGGTTTGTTTGATCTACATCTACAATTTCTCACTATAGAAAGTGAAGTAGCTCATTTAGAAAGGCAAGCTCTTGTTCGATTACAATACATCCCCCAAAAGGAGAGGAGTTCAGTTAAAAGGCAAATCCCAAGGGGTGCTGTGCAACTGATCACTCAGAACATGCATTTTGTATTCTGTTCAGAGTAGAGCTTCAAGTAATGAATGCAAACACAGAATCACTGGAGTTTAAAAGATTAGAAGTCATTTAGTCCAACTCCCCTGCAATGAACAGAGACATCTGCAGCTAGATCAGCCTGCTCAGAGCCCAGTCGAGTCTGATCTTGAATGTCTCCAAGGATGGAGCATCCACCACCTCTCCAGGCAACCTGTTTCAGAACCTCACCAGCCTTACTGTAAAAAACAAAACAAAACAAAAAACAAACAAAAAAACCCCACACCTTCTTCAAACTAAATCTCCCCTATCTTGGTTTGAAACTGCTTCCCCCCGTCCTATAACCCTATTAAAGAGTCTGTTCCCTTCCTTCTTATAGTTCCCCTTTAGATACTGACAGGTCTCCTATCGGGTTCCCCTGGAGCCTTCTCTCCAAGCTGAAAAGCCCCAGTTCTCTCAGCCTGTCCTCCTGCCATTCACTTGATAAAGAAATCAGAAAGATAGTAGGAATCACACAAGTGCTCTGACACACTCAGAAATGTCTAGGGTCAATAGTTCAAATCCATTTTACAATGATGAGACAGGGGAGGGAAATTGTGCCATTACACAGCATGTTGCACAAATATCACTCCAGCCTGTCCTAGGAAACAGCAAGAGGTCTCTTTAGCATTCTCCAGTAACTTGAGAGGTAGAACCAAATACAGTAAGCAGCTGGCATCTGCTTTTCAGCTTTGATATGGCATTAAACATCTTTCTGTTAGGAAACCATACCATGCATACAAAAAAACCACCTCCCAACCCTTTCAGCCAGCCCAGTGAAGCCAGAACAAAACACAGAGGCAGGGCTTGTCTCCTTCCAAAGCTAGCTGTTCCAAAGCTTAGGCATATGGTATAGCAGCATGAGCTGATGCATGCAGGCACAGTTCCGTTTATCTGACAAGAGTGAACAAGGGTTTTGCAAACTTCATTTACCTACTGCACATCACAAGTAGGCTGGTTACCTTCTTGTTGTGACAATACACCTGCTGTTACCAAAATGAGTTATTTATTAATCAAACACCAGATCAAATTACTTAAGAGACAGGAGGAAAGGATTAGGACATCAGGACAACTAAGTTCTCTATTGAAACACCAGTTCCACACAAGTAATTTAGCTCAGACTGGCATTTCCCTCTCTCCAGAATGTGAACTGTAACTCATTTATCTTGATTCAGTGCTAGGAAAAGCAAAAACGAAAGGATTTTTAAAAATTATGGTTATAATCATTTATCAACCTAAACAAAGCTAATCACAAGTTTATGTCAGTGTGGACAGGTAAAGGGCAGCAGTTTTTCCCAGATACCTACCCTCCACCACTTTCTTTCTTGCTGTTGCTTTAACAGCAGAGCACTGTTACTGTTCATTTGATAGTATTCCACTATAAGCTTATAAGAAATGCTTACATACAAGAGAATAAATTAATTATATAAAGAAATTAATATTGAAAGGTGGGTTTTTAAGGTTTATAAGCTTCCTTTAAGGAATCGTATGGAAGCATTAGTGTGCATAAGGCACACTAACTGGCGTTGAGCTCATTTCAGGAGAAGCACATTCATTTTGTGAGGATGATTCCAGCTGGCATTCTGCCTGTTCTGCCAGTGACTCACTATTCTCATTCTTGTCGGAAAAAACAAAAATCAGGATACCTGCTCTTTGCTAACCAGTATCACATTTACTCCTGGTTCACAACAGACACAGTGATAACACAGGCTGAAGAGTATTTTTCACAAGAAGAAATGTTTCACTCCAGGAATGCAACTGCTGAGTTACTCCCCCTGCTGCTGAAGGAAGAACATTATCAGCAATGACTGCTCAAGGTTTGTATCAGCAAAACACAAACGATGAGTCCTAGTCCCCAGTAATACCCACAAGAACCCAGAACTATACTGTCTAACAAGAAAGGCTCATTATCATGAAACAAAACTAGCACAGAAAAATACAGCTATGTTTGCTTTGCAAATTAACTGTTTTTTTTTTTTTTTAACTTATTTGAACCACAGTACCTTTCCTCCTGCACTGAGTCAGGATCCAGAATGCAAAGCTACATTCCAATAGAAAGTGTTCTGAAACCTGCAAAGAACTTAAGGAAAATAAGCATACCACCATTCAACTTTGGCATTAATGACATGGTGTCCAAATTATGCTGTCCTAAGTATTACTTCCTTTCTCTATTTGCTTTCTTTTTATTTTGCAAAATTCTTAAAAAGAACTTCAGTGATCTTTTTTTGTAAACCTGGCACTTTAGTTGCACAAATATATCTCAATGCAAATAATAACCTCCTAAAAAGTTATCACTTGCACTGACGTTACAGTAACACAGCAATTCTTAATGAATAACCTCTTCATTACAACCATATTCAGCTGTATAGCTGTGGCTTTACAACAAAGCAGCACCAATCACTGATGAAGGAACATGCAGTTGCAATATATGTGATTTATATTACGATTTCAGGAAGTGAAGTATGTAGCTTAGAAGCTTTAAAATAAGGTACGCATATTTGCATACCTTATGTTTCAAATGATTCACATAAGCATACCACACTGCTTATGTAAATCTGACAAAGCAACTGAGAGCCCATGGCACTCCTTTTGTGGACAGAAGTAATACTCTGATTTGAAAGCCACAGGATGAGTTATTCCATTTAGTTTTTTCAAAGATCTTTAGATACCAGAGTGCTTTCCAAAAACACCTCTCAGCATCTAATTGCATCACGATGCATCTAAGTAAAAAGTAAGTGTAGCCTGATGGCAAGACAACAGAGAACTGAGCTCAGCTTCTGAATAGCTGCCAACATCTCAGTGTTTCTTGTCACCATCTGTTCCCAAAACAACTGTCTTTCTGTTAATCCTTTTCTATCGTTATGAGTTCTTTTGGAGGACTGATGCTGTGCACAAAGCTAGGCTGAAAAAGGAAGCAAATGATTATGCAGAAGTAGCAAAGAGATGGCCTACATGTAGAATGCTACCCATCAAACAAGCAAAACTCCTCTTTTTCATCTCAGCTCAAATCAGATTAAGGAAGAGAGGCATAGAGGCATTTCAGAGAGAAGTGACTTCAATATTTGTGAAGAACAGGAGACCACAGTGCTGGGGTTTTTTTGTTTTTTTGGGGGAAGGGGGGATGGGGAGGGACAAAGTATTTCATGAAGAAGAAAATAAAGCTCAAGCTGGCACCACAGCAGGGATTCACTCAAAAATCAGCTCACAGAGAATCGCAGAATCACAGGGGTTGGAAGGGACCTCAAGACATCGAGTCCAACTCCCCCAATAAAGAAAGTACCCTACAATAGGTCACACAGGTAGTTGTCCAGATGGGTCTTGAATATCTCCATAGAAGGAGACTCCACACAAGTGCAAGACTCCAACTTGCTCTTGTTAAACCTCATCAGGTTCTTCCCCGTCCAACTCTCCAGCCTGTCCAGGTGCTGTTGAATGGACAGTGCTAGGTGGAG